TCATGTTCGGTTATTTTTACATTCGGCATCGAAGCTTTTCCTCTAGCCATTTATATCTGTCCTCTATTCTTCAACAATTTCCGATTTTTCTAATTTTGCCAGATAGTATAGCGGTTCCGTTAATTTGACCCGGTTCGTTACCGATTCCGTTAAAAATATGATTTGCATCGATCGCCGACGTTCTGCCTCGCGGAGAAATTCACCGAGGGATGATTCGAGCGTTCGCGACGCGTCACACGGTGGACGAGATCGATAGATCCCACCAGAAAGTGGATGCATTCGCTCGATGTGAATCCGTTCTCCGCGGTACCGTGCGATCTCTTCTCGCGCATTTCCGGCTGCGATTGATTATTGAAATCGGCAGCCGCCATTGGGACGCGCGCGCGCACATCGAAAGCATCGATCCTGCATCCTGCTCAATTTTAATTGGCTCTCCGCGGGTCGGGGCTCCGTCTTCGATACAGATTCGAATGCTTCTAATTTTGTTACGCTTCGGCTGAATTCTAACATCGGCCCACATTGGATTCTAACTATTTCTGCTTTCTTGCAAGAAGATGACTTTCGTGGGGGCAATTGTGCGTTATGAAACGTAAAGGATTTTCCAAAAAGGGCTTTCAAGATTTTAATTTTCGGTAACGGAATGTTAGGGTACTGTTAGGGTAGTCGCGGTGGAGATATTAACCCTTTGCGCTCGAGGCATTTTTCTATAGAATCAAATCCAGTCCATTTTTATAATCAATTTCTGTGAAACCAAAAGCTTTACTTCGAAGAGAAACAGTCTCTCGTTCTACTAACGTTCAAGACTCGATGTATTATTATTTCAATTAATAATTAGCTGTATTCTGATATAAGTGGAATTGAAATATGTAGTACGTTCACAAAATCGCTTTTAAATTAGAAAGAGATATGTATTTCTAAACGTAGCGTAAATATATCGCTATAACTGAACATACAAAAAATTCGTTTAATTTTTAAGTGGTATCCGCGACGTGTTAAAATAATAATGCATTCTAATGTTCGGAAATGCATCGGATAATATAGAATTTGTGTATTGGAGGATGTGTTAAGTTAGAATGAAAATATTTAGCTATGTAGAAGGCTTAGCACATAATATTCACACTGGCAATGTTTACAAAGCCAAGGTTGAGCATCCCAACTAAACACTTCACTCATTACCGAATACATGCACACTCATAGCGAAGTCATTAGTGGATTATCAAAATCGATTTTCTCGAAAACCGAACCTCGAAGGATACCCAATTTACATTGAATCGTTATTGTATCAAAATTTCAGTTAATTTACTGCACACACCTACAGGCCAACATATTATACCTAATCACGTTATTAATTTTTAATCACCACTAATCATACTATCATACAAAATTTCAGTTAATTTACTGCCCTCACCTACAGCCCAACATATTATACCTAATTAATTTTTAAACGCTACTACTAATCATACTACGTTTAATTACTTTCGTGTATCAAGATTTGCGAACGAAAACGTTCGTGTTATGTTTACTTTAATACGAGTGATTGAGTGTAAATAATGATTTAATGGGAATCTCTGGGCCAAATTAAACTCGTGCACTAATTAATAAATAAATCATATCTACTATACTATATTATACGAACCAAAATTGAAGATTGTCAAATATATCAAAATAATGATGCTTAAACGAATAAATATATTTTGAAAGTTTCGTTCATTCGCTAATAATTTTAGGTACATCTTGAGGAGGAAAATAATCAAGATAGTAATTGCTCATTTATATTAAATATATAAATAGAAATTTGGGAAGAATCAAGCACGGGACCGCGTTGTTTACTCGTTTTCTCATTTCTTCCCGTTGAAATTCAATTTTGCTGCGAACCGATCCCATTAATGCGCATCACGGAACGTTTGCTACACCGAAACACGCTTCCAAACTAATTTTGCAAGATATACAACGCAATAATTCACGGATAAAGAACAGGCAAGAGGCAAGAAAATCGATCGAGATAAAATAAAGAAAAAAGAAAAAAAAAACAAGGAGGGAAGCATTGAAATTTATTCGAATTTGTCAGTAGAGATGTCGTGAGCTCAATGGCTTTCGTTGATATTACATATCGATTTCGGCAATACACGCTCGAACGGTTGTAATTAAACTCTATGTAACGACGTTGTGTTCCCTTTTTCAATTTCAACTCGAGATCCCGATTTCCTGTTGATGGCTGCTAAATAGTAAATTGGACAGCTTCTTTCCCAACCATTTCAAACCATATTTTTTTTTTTATGGAGTCTATGTATTATTACATTTCTTTACAGTGTTCTATGGTCAATATATATTTCGGTGGCAGTATTGAAAGTATTTTTGTAAATATATGTTATATTAGAATAATTCAATTTTGTTATTCATAGAAAAATCTGAATTGAATTCAAACATGTTTGGAATTAAAGAATTATTAATTTAATTGAAAAGTTATAAAAAAGACATTACATATATTGACCATTTTTATATGGCAAAAATATTGCAGTCTGCACTAATTCCAATAGATTCTTGCTATAGATAAATTCGAATAATCCATTTATATTTACATATATTAGGTTGTCCCAAAAGTTTCTTTCGTTTTATTAATAAGTAATATACACAATATTTTATGACTGATGCTACATTATTGAATTGTGTACGATTCATTTTGCTCCATTACTGTTACAACATCAATATCTAAGAAATTAGAGTGTCTATTTATATAAACACTGCTACACAAAATAACTGGGTGCAAGTCACGAAAGAAACTTTTGGACCAACCTAATACTTAATTCATATTAATATTAACCATAGCATATATGTACAACAAATAATAAATTAAATATACATAAAATATTTCTAATCGTCATAAGTAAAGTTAGATTCAGAATACCAACAAGACAGAATTCTTTCAGAGTCAAACCGATGGTGATTAGCAAATGGTTGAAACATTTAACGTTGATTTCGTTCCGCTCCAGCCACCCCGATAAATTTGTTTTACACACAGCCGATAAAATATCGTGTTATTTAGTTTATCGCGACAAATGAATGCCCTTGTGCATGAAGTCCAACCAGGGAACGACGCACGTGTATCGAAAACAAATTCCCAAAATGTTTGCATAAAAAGTGTTCACGTCAAAAATAAATTTTCGAAATATTTACCGCGAGGGGGAGAGGGGGAGAGCCACGTTTGTATTTAACGAGTGATTTTCTGAAATATTTTCCAGCGATCGACGGGTGTCACTCATTTTTCCTCGAATTCATCTAATCTTGACAGCTAACGAGGAATTTATTAAAGTATTAAAGTCACGCCATGCATGAAATGACTCTGATATGGATTACGATTATTCGTTACACTAATAGTACCTTAGTTCGAAGATTCCAGCTTTCATTTTCAATCGTGTTCACGATTATTTGTGATGACGTAAGTTGACCATCAGCGGAGGGGTGCACTTGGTTCGAATCATAATTTTCATTTTATCTGTAACATTATTAGAATTGGACGTTAAATAAATTTGTATTCGAAAATGTTTGTGTTTAAATAGACTTTCATTCGTATGAATTTTAATTTGAATATAGTTATAATTGAATAGAATTTTATTCGAATAAAATTGTACTCGAATAAATGTTTAATCGAATCGACTTTCACTCGAATAAATGTCTATTTCAATAAATTTCGATTCCAGTAAATGGCTATATTGAAAACTTTTTATTCCGAAATATGTATATTTTAATACATTTTCATTTGAATTGTAGTTAAATAAATTTTTATTCGAATAAGGTTTGATTCCAATAGATATCTGCGAATAAATTTTCATTTGAATAAGTGTCTATGACAATGAGTTTTGATTTCAATACATGTCTATTTTAATAAATTTTCGGAAACTTCGACACATTCGCTCGCACACGCGCACTCGCGCTCGCGCACACACGTGTTGCTCCGTTTGACAAGTAGAGCTAGTGGAATTAGGGAGACCCACGCGGTTTGATCACGCAGCATTAGCGCTTAGGTGGACGTATTGCGAGCCCCGAGCATACAGATTTGGCGCGGTATTTAATTGGTCTGATTAATAATCAAGTAATAAATGAAATCTAAAATATATGCAAAAATTAAATAATACAAAACATTTTAAAAATATGTAATATGCATAGGAACTAAATAATATAAAATATTTTACAAATACATACTTACAGAAACTATATAATATACGACATTTGAAAAATACATACATACGAGTGTTTAACTTTTCCAGGGACGAATTTTAAATTAATTTATTTTGCTCTGATCGAATACACACAAACCAAAGCAATTTTAAAATACAAATATGCTGTCTCGATATAATATGGTCTATGTTTCATTTTAAAAAGTATTGTAATCGAAATAGTAATAATTTTAATATAAAAGCAAACGTACACGTATGAGTCAATATCCTTTAAGAGGTTAATGACTATTGTCACTAAAGGCACCGTGATGTTCTGCTGTAAAATAACACAATGTTAGCGAAAAGGGCCATCGACTAATTGCTTAATCGACTGTTTCGTCGATACTATGCACTAGTAATAGGATACTAGGCATTAGGACTGTGGATATTTTGTAGACAGTAAATGTAATGAGAGTAGTCTCATTTATATGCATGGTACAATGGGCAGAATTGTTTGAACCAACTGCACGTGCAAACCTGGAACACCTGAAACCACACTTGCACGTCTGAAATATACATGTCTCAATTCGCCGAGTACATACTATCATAATTGCATGAAAGGGTGAAGTCTACCAATGAGAATGAAAACGTCAATGCTACAGGAAATTCTCCTGCTCTGGAAAAATTGCCAAATTTACATAACCTTTAACACTTTCGCTGCGGATGGCGCACATGTGCGTCCAACTGATAAATTTCAAAAATATATGGTTGTTTTTATTATTTTTCAGTTTTCATTTTTTTTTTTGTTCGGCAATCGTATTATATATAAAATAAATTACCACAAATATATGCTTTTCAAAATAATCACATCAGAACATTTGTAAGAAATTTTTCATTAAAAATAATATCATAATGGCAACTCCCAGCGAACGGCTACTTATTTTCGCCCGCAGCGAAAGTGTTAAACTAACCTTCTTAAATGATCAAACGTCAAAAAGGATACACTAAAGGCTTCACTGTAAAGTCTGTCCATCTAGAAGAGAAACGTAACACAAAAAGAATCAGAAAATAAAGAAAAACAACAAACTAACAGAAACAATTATTATTTTATTGAGCAATCATATATTACAAATTCTTCAGAATGTCGACTCGGTACAACAGCTAGATGATATCTTTTGTCAGGTTGCAAGGAGCTATCCTATACCTGAGAAAGAATTGATTTTAACAGCAGAAAATCACCACGTTAGAGGACTAAATAACTATACTGGAGGATATTGGGGTTGAGTAATAAGTGTACACATGTTGCAATATTTCGAAACGATTTGCGTCATCTCTGTCCGCATCGCTAGCTTCATGTGATTGGAGAACCGATCTCGTTGCGTTCAAAAGGGATAGTAAAAAATGTTTATCGTCGTCGTGTTCTTCCGCCTCTGCACCACGTCTCTAGGCGAGGCTTTGTATCACAGCCCGACTAAGTTCTCTTATATGAAGATCGTCATCGACAGCTTTTCTCTTGACCTCCTGACGTTCAGGTGATTTCGGGGACGATGGCTCACACGGTGTTTGTTCTTTCCTCGAGCGACCTTCGATGACTTTCTTTTCGGCTCTTTCACATTCAGAAGACCCTGGCTGTGACGCTTCAGGGTGCACTTGTACATCATCTTGCTCGCTCTCGGGCTCCTCTTCTTCGACTCCGTCGCCTTCTTTCGAAACGGAGTCCGTTCTAAACACATTACGAGCATACTTAGTGCCATAACCAGTTCGTCTTCGACGCCGGTATATAAGTGGACGCTTACATCGGAGTGTCGGTCATTACTGGTGTCAGAAACGTCAGCATGTCGAAGTACTTGTACGTGGTTCAGTTCTTGCTTTCGCCGCACACGACCGCCTTTCTCCTAGCCAGTTCTCGTCTGAAACTCTGCCGTATATTTTTCCATTTCTTACGAATATCGTTACCTAAAACAACCCGAAATTTTGGTCCCTATTCAACTGAATTATTGCGATTGCGAGGATATAGGATTTAAATTTATTTAGAATTAGGTTGGCTGCCGTGTAAGTGCTCCTTAAAAATACTTTGAGGTTTGTATTTACAGTAATAACTACATTTTATTTTTATTTTAGGTATTTGAGTAGTGACAAATGCAGTAGGAAGTACAAGTTATAGCAAAACAATTTGTGCTCATTGTTTTATATGGAGATATGTTTAAATTTCTCACTTTCGTGAAACGGCGGCCATTTGCTTGTGTCACTGTATGGCCACCGTTGGGTCACCGTTGGGTCACCGTTGGGTCACTGTTGGGTCACTGTATACTCTATGAATACTTGTAGATTATGTTTTGCACGATTTACTTTAATTTTTACTGAAGAATCAGGAACCGTTTAAACAAAATGGTAATCTACATGCTGAAAGCATTTATACAACGAATAATAATGAACTTAGAAGACCTTATCAAATATTTTGCATAGTGCATTTGAAAACTCCTTCTTATTTTGGCCAGGTTCTCGGCCATCGGGACCACTGTGCGACGGAACTTCTGTAACGGTGGTAGTTGCTTGGCCCGCGCGTAGCTTTGTAAAAGGGTCTTTGAAGAGGCCCGCCGCATGAAACTGCCATAAATGGTACGCACAGAGCCAATGGCCGAACTGTAAAGTAATAAAGCTCTTTCCGTTTCGACGACGACGTAGCTGCCGTAAGTCTATTAATTATAAGCGGTTCATTATGAATAATTTGACGTTGTTACCTCCGCCTCGTGGTGGGACGATCCAGACACAATTTTGATGGGGGTAATTAAACCATAATAAATTATAGATTCTTAAAACTTGTTAAAGTGGCGTGCAGATAGAATACTGTTCGATCATTACACGATACATATGGAATTTTATGTATTTAACCCTTTGCGCTCGGGTGGCGCCTCTATGGCGACATATGTTATTTAAAAGTGATTTTGTGAACGTACAATTTCAAATTCACTTACATCAGAATGCGATTAACTAATAATTGAAATAATAATACATTGAGTCATGAATGTAGATGTTTTTCTTTGGAGTAGAATTTTTGGTTTCACAGAAATTTATTATAAAAATTGACTGGATTTGATTTTATAGAAAAATGCCTCGAGCGCAAAGGGTTAGTCAATTTTAAAGTTGGAGTTACCGATCATAATTTAATAAAGAATTTTATTAATATTGTTTGTTCAAGAATACATTCCACGATATCAATCTCTGACAATATAATTTCCTAGTGATATTAAATACGAAAATTTGAATCGTTGGAACAGATCAGGGTTTGAAGTTTGAAACGTGAGTCGCGCGTGGTTTGATTAGTGACCTCATGGAACTGTTGTGTCTCTTATGCCAGACTGTGACTCTGTATTGTTTTTGAACGACTGTGAACCATAATCACATCGTTAGCAAGCGTAGCAATAATATTTATAATATTTATACTCATTAAATTTTTTATTTGTAAGTTTTTTATTTTCATACTCCATATCATATAGCAATCGTACAATAATTTGATGATTAAGGCCTATCGCACGCGGCGCAACCGATTAATTTCAAACCACTCTGAAACTAGTTGCATGCGACCGTGGATCCAATTCTTTAGTAGGTAAAACAACAAGCGCAAACGGTGTGTAACACTAATTTCATATCGGTTGCGCCGTGTGCGATCGGCCTAAGATAACAGTGATTACTTAATTATGAATTGCATCGGGCTAAATGATTAGGCTGGAGGATGTTTGGATTTCAAAGAGACATGTGCACCCATGTCGCGATATTTTGCGACAACTTGCATCATTTCTGTCCTCATCGTTAACTTCAGGTGATTCGGAACAGCTCTCGTTGCGTTTAAAAGGGACAACAGGAAATGTTTGTCGTCGTCGTCGTCCACTTCTGGAGCACGTCTTTGCAAAAGACTTTGGATCACAGCTCGTGTAAGTTCTTCTATGCAGTCTCCCTTGGGAGATTCTCTTGTAGGTCCTCCAGACTCGAAAGACCCTGGTTGAGGTGGGTTTGGCAACGTTTGCTCCGTTTCTACGCGGTTTGGCTCGGTAGTCTCACTATTGGTTCTTCTAGATTCTGAAGATCCTGATTGAGATGGTTTGAACACAGTTTCTTCCTTTTCAAGGTGACTAGGCTTGGTAGCCTTACTGTTGGTTCTACTAGATTCTGAAGATCCTGATTGAGATGGTTTAAACACAGTTTCCTCCTTTTCAAGATGATTAGACTTGGTAGCCTTACCGTTGGTTTCTCTAGATTCTAAAGAGTCTGATTGAGATGACTCAGGTAGAATTTCTTCTTCTTGTAAGAGATTAAGCTCGGTAGCTTTTCTTTTGATTCCCTTACAAACAAATCCTGTTTGTGATGGTTCGGATTTTGTTTCCTTCTCAATAGCTCTTCTTTTGCTACCTCCACATTTAGAAGACACTGGTTGGGAAGAATCAGGTAATACTTGGGCATCTTCTGGTTCACTTTGGAACTCCTCTCCTTCCACATCATCATTTCCTTCCGAATTCGTCCTGAATGTGTTAGAAATCAATATTATAAGGATTTCTTCTTCAATACCACAACCTAACTTACTTTTGATTCAAAATTATTGGTTCCAGAAACGATAAACTGTCGAGATAGGGTGTCCCAGACCGGTTTGGGTCATAATCAATCAACCTTTTCCTGTCCATTTCTCGTTTGTAATTCTGTTGAATGTTCTTCCACCTTTTACGTATATCGTGAGCTAAAACAATTGTATATTTAATGCTGCTGGGAACAGAGTTTCCGTTCTTCAGCGATACGAAAGTACAAAGGTACGCTATGTTTCTGTGTTTGAAGTTATGCCACTTTTTGTTTCTGCAACTAAAGTATTCCACATCCTATTTGCGATACATCTACCGCATAATTGCACTGGAATTCGCACGTCTGAATGACTATCAGATAAAATCACAGAACAAACGTGCACTTGGAATCGGAACAAATAAAATAGTATTATTACCAACTCTAGCTTTTTCTTGGCGAGACATGTCTTTGTAGTTTGGATGGACTACTAAATGTATTTCCTCCCAGCATCGTTTCTTCTTTCTCGGGTCAGAGTTGTTCACGTTAGTCGAGTCCCAAATGGGAAGACGTTTCCTGACTTCTTCGATAAACGCTTTTACGTCAAAAATTTTCGCTTGTTTCTGCATGTGATCTGTGCCTGGTGAGTTAAGGGTGACTACTAGCGACGCAGCAGGCACATGAGTCGCACAGTGCCAGGTCTCCGTGGTAAGGACTGAGTGCCCCAATCGTGTGCCTGTATGAAAGAACTCTGAAGAGGACACTGGGGATTGTGCGTGAGCCACTACCTGAGTAATACGCAGTACAGAAACCGGAACATGTATTCATAAATACGGTCCTGAATTTCTACCCCAAATTTTCTCTGGAGTAGAACACATTTTTTATTTGTTTATCAGGTCATCATACAAGTTTGCACCACTTATTATTCTGCTATTCAAATTAATATGGAAAGGATACGCTCAAATGTTACGGAAAGATGCAATCATCCGCTGTTTTTGTGATCGTTTTCTAGAGTTCTTGCAAAGTCATTATACCGTCGATATAAAATTGGTTGTAGTTCTTTTTTTTTTTTTTATTACATATTTAACGTCGCATCAACCTTTGGTTATTAACGACAGTTTCTTATGTTATACGAGATAATATAATTCTAAGATTTGGTTTACATCAATTTTTAACTGGACGAAACGTTTGAAGAATTATGAGGATGGATGAAGTCAAATTGCCTTATCATTTTGAATAAATTGTTCAACTCTGAAAGTAACATAATATACATATGTCTATAGGGCGGACTTATATGGGATGACATAATTCTAAGATTTGATTTAGATCAATTTTTAACTGGAGAAACGTTTGAAGAATTATGAGGATGGATGAAATCAAATTGCTTTATCATTTTCAATAAATTTTTCAACTCTGAAAGTAACATACATATACGTATGATTAGTAGACTGCGGATCTTTATGGATTTATAGGCAATTTGAATGTGCAAGAAAGTATAAAATGCAAACAATATGTAAGAATATAAGAAAGATTGAAAGTAAAGTTCACGTTGTAATATTTGCAGAATAAAATAAATTCCTATTTAGGTTCAATTTTTATAAGCACTTTCGCGAAGATTTTATTTTGCATAAAGATCCGCAGTCTATTCATGACAAATTAAAAAATTAATAATGTACTACTTTGGAAAATGTATAAATGTACAAAATGATTAGTATACTTTATGCTTGTATTTCTCTTTCTTTATGAAAACTTTCTATAGCTTGTGTGTATTACTGAATAGTTTCAAAGAATATAGCGACCCTAATCGCAGCAGTAATCGTGAAAAAGAAATCGATCGGACACTCGTAAAGAAGCTTGCCACGCCAATGGTCGTCTTATTGGCGGGCAAATTCGAATCGAATACGTTGCTTTCGCAAAAATAAGCGTCTTCATGAAAAATTCTCACGCATTCTTGATAAGTGTTCAGTGTTTTAAATAGATGAAAAATGATGTTGGGAGATACACATCAGGTTAAATGAAATATGTGAATACGGTAGAATGCATTATACGGAAATTTAGGTTATCGTTGCCGCTACTTTTTAAACGGACTGAAACTAGATGGCAGGAACAGGAAAATCGATCCTGTGGCGTCATGAGTGACTATACACGCGACCATTAGCATTCTAGGATAGTTGCTCAGCAGTCCCTCCATTTTGCGGATTTATGGAACCTTTTAGATTAAAGTAATTTAAAATTCAATTGGTACTCCCGTTATATGATACTTATTGTCATTATTGTCAAACGGACAGAAATAATTTTAGAAATATAATAGTAAAAAATCATAAAAATTCTGACAGAAACGGGAGAAATGGAAAAAAGAATTCAGCAACAATATAGTATAAGGAAATTTAAACAAATGGAATGTATCGATAGTTCTCAAATTTCATTGTTTATAAATCCTAATTTCCCTTGAACGTACGTTTTAATTTATATTTTTAAGTACAATACAATTAACTCTCGCAGGTCTTACACTCATATGTATCTTTTGTTGAGATAATCATGCTCTATCGCGTAATCAACTCTGCAAACTCAAACATAAATATTTATTACATATATAGACTCTGAAGATTGACCAATATGGCGCCTTACATACGCTCACACGTATCATTCTGTCAACAACAATCATCAGTTTCTTTCTTTGTCTTCCTAAACACCTGAAAGAATAACCATCAACATATTCCGTTACCATTTATCAAATGCTCCTATCATAATTTATCTTAATTCACCGACCCCCTAATTTCGTCTAGGACCCCCCACGAGGATATAATTTCCGTACTCCACTTCCTACGACATTTCTCGAGATCCTTCTTCGAAAAGACCGTCGCGAAAAACCATGAAAAATCGATCAAGCGGCCGTAACTGCGAATGACTATTCGCGGAATCATCGGTTCGAAGAAAGGAAGAAGACGAGCCCGCAGCAGAGAGAAGGCAGAGTGAATCGAGACCGCTGCGCAGAAACCGCGGCGGCGACGTCGGCGGCGGCGGTATCATCGTGGCCTCATCGACCTAACCTACTTTAGCCGAGGGACGCCTGCACGAGGACGACGGTGGCGCCGTCGCCCGAGGACGTCCGACGGCGACGCCACTAACTGTATCTACGGCCGTTCTCCAACGTCCTCGTACCAAGCTCCACCTCCGCCTCCCCCTCGACCCCCCTGTGCTCCTCTGCGCTCCTTCTCCTTCTCCTTTTCCTTTTATTTTTCTCTCTCTCTCTCTCCCCCCCCCCTCCCACGGTTGCTCCTCTCTCTTGCGCTCTGCTTTTCCGTGACACTCGGATCCCCCTCTCACCACCCCTCTCCTTCTTCGCGGCGCTGTCCCTTTTTACCCTAATCGCACCGAGCGAGCACGAGAACTTTTTTCTTCCCCCTCGCCGCCTCCAACCCCCTCGAGGCGGGGGCGAGTAACGATTTTCGAAAGACTAGAAACGAAAAGTTCCCGTTTGCGCCCGTCGATCGACCGTCCCGATATATTTTATCTTGTTAGCGGCCCCGACGCGGCTACCGCGAGGACGAGACGCGAAAAACACGTTCGATCGAGGAAAGAGAGGATCCATCGAACGGATAACAGCCAGAGACGACCGATTCTCTCTTGACGCGATGCGAATCGCGTGAAACGAACGAAAGGTAAACAACTTCGCGCGACAACAGAAGTCGATAACGTGGATTGTAAAACGAAAGGAATGTAGAATTACCGTTTCTCGAATTTTTGTTTTATAGTTTTATTTTATATCGAAGTCCTGATTTAAAATGGCTGCCATTAGAGGCGACCAACGCCGTCCTAGAGATTAACGAGTTTATGTATATTAGTTCATTTATTTGATTTTCTTTTATAGATTTAAGCATCGAGAACAAGTATAGTTGTGCTGTGTAATACTTTAAAGAAGATGGTGCTAGCTCAAAAATGGTCTTCCAAGAGAATCTGCATCTCATGAAAACGGTACTAATCTTGTTTATTGACAATCAGAATGACATTTTTCCAGAAAACAGCACACAAAAATCTGCAGACGAATTTTGTCCAACTCCCAGCGGTGCATTGCATGTAGTTTCACAGAAATAAATCGAAATAAAGACGACGAATCCTCCAGGCGACCTTTTGATCTAAATTTTTCTAAGTCTCAGCTGCGCGCTATGGAGAGATTTTAAGGAATAAATGAATAGGAAATTCCCCTCTGGAACATCTCCAAAGCAATTAAAAGTTTCGGTTGAAGAATGGGTTCACATTCTACTGGAAACTATTCAAAACTGGTACCAGTCTATTCCAAGGATAGGAACTGCGTTGAAGACGAATAGAAATTCGGATTTCGAGTGTTCTGCATGAGATACAAGAATACCAGTGGTGTAAGGATGTTGACGGTGCTTCAGCTTGAGGAAATATACATCACCTGCAATTTGGATTGCCTGCATCCAATTAGTAAACATGCGGGTAGTTCAGCAATGATTTGGACGGCCATATATGGGTTTGCTGCTTGTCTCGTCATTACCCTAACTGGCTGTATTACAGCCAGTGCTTGGCCATTCTAGGTGATCAGGTTTGTACTATGGCTCATGTATAATTTCCCAGACAACGATATTATTCTTCAACATGATAGTGCATTCGTACATGAAAAGTACAGAAAAGTTTAGTCGTGGTTGATGAACTCGAAGACCTTGTATGGCTAGTGCAGTCACTCCGGTACAAATATCACCTAATTATTGTGGACACTTTATTAGTGGACGAATAGAGGATCATTAATCCTTTGCACTCGAGGTCTTTTTTTGTGGTATCTACCAGCAATTCGAGATGTTTCTTAGCGTTCTATTGCCATGAATTCTAAGCTACCTAGATTTGAGAATGAGGTCACCTTTAGCTCGCCGACAATCATTTTATCGACACCTCGAGCTCCAATGAAATTAAACCTAAAGAAACATTAGGTATTGTAGATTTGCTGTGTGAAAATCGAGTGCAAAGGGTTAAAAACCCCTAGAGCAAGTGGTAGACGATCGTACCACCAAGAATACTTGAGGAATTGGAAACAACTTTGGTTCATATGAACAGGTATTCCCATATGGATGTGACGATGTAAGGTCGTGACAATACAAATATGTAATGTCACAATGGTGTAAGGTTGTGACAATGTAAAATTGTGACAATGTGAAGAAATGGCTGTTTGACGATGTGACGAAGTATGTTTGTGACAATTTGAACATTCTGATGTTGTGACCATATGGATGAGAAGGTATTCTATTTGATCTAGTTTACGAGATGTATTATAATTGAAACTTGAGACTCTTTCTGCTTGACTCTTTACGGAACAATGTTTTGAACAAATTCAACAGAAACCAAATCAGTGACGCAACGTCTCCGATGCATATATTGAAATGCAGGACAGCCATTTTGGACACTTTCTCTGAAGTCAATTAAAATAAATTAATCGCTATGCCTCGTGAACAAGATCAAGTAGAACACACGTTCCTATCACTTTTTCACATCATTTTCAGTTGGTGAAGTTGATCACTGTAACGATCCCTCCATATTATTTCCACTTCTAAGAATGATCTTCTAACTATTACCCACACATATATTCAATAGCAAAGTTCACGAAACAAATTGGCCCATACGCCTACTCTTCCTTCCTACCACTTCAGGTTAACCCACGTTGCGTCAACAGCTCCTACAACCATTCCTCAACTCCTCGCTATTTATTTATTCTCAGCTATTTCCTCAGTATTGGTCGTCAATGGCGGAATTCGTTTCGATCATCGTCCCCTCGCGCCGGGCGAGTGATTCACTCTGAGTCAGCGATTCGTTTCGCCGTATTTAATGTCCTGGAAGCGTGGAATCGCGCGGGAGCGAAGAGCAGAAACGGTGCAGGTTGATCCAAACCGACGTACCAACGATATTTCCACTACGTTCCTCGGCTAGCGGCCGAAGGACCGACACTAGCGGCGTACAACGAGCCCGAGATCCTGGCGTATCTCTTTCTTGGCAAAGATTTTCCAGAAGATACCCGTGGATTACGTAACACGTCACGCGGCGACCCTAACCGTTCTACTTCCAGCTTTGTCTGCGATAAAATATGTCGCGTCCGTCCGTGGCACGCTCGAG